CGACGACGACAACCACAATCACAACCACAACAACAATTACAACTGCTGCTGCTGCTGCTGCTGCTACTACTGCTACTACCACCACCGCCATCACCACGGCTACTGCGACTACCACCACTACTGCTGCTAGGGCTCATCATGCCGTTCATTCCCTCGCACTACTGTTACTGCAGTAAGTTGCTGTAACGGAAACATGCCCTGCACCAGTATCTATCCTCTGCTTCTTATTGAGGTTTCGGGGTCGGACAAGGTGTTCGATCCGTGCATTCAACCCATGTGGACAGCAATCAAAGCCTCCTGGCGTCTGTTCTAGAATCTAGAAGGGTTCCTGATTCAACATATCAAAATTTAAAATAAAAAAAGCCTTAAGCCTGGTTGTGAGACACTTTGAGGCCCTGTATGGAGCCGTTGAATCCCTCGCGGTTCTCTAGCGGACACTTTGGCAAGCCTACAGGAAAAGCTGCCTCACGCACAGGGCTTCACCTGTGAAGAGCACACTCCCAACCAGCAGATTTTGGGGAGGTTCTTAAGTTCTTGGTGCTGTTCTTACACCCGCAAGCACCAACCAGCTGGGAGAGTACCGGACCGACGGCCACCCAACATCTTCAAAAATGACCGGAGCTGTCTCTGCCTTTAGGCAGTGGAAGCCGGCAGCCGCGGTCTACTGAGATGTCCTGGTCAGACTCGGTCCGGAATCAAGACGTAAGGTCCTAACTTCGAGATGGCTAAAGCCAAAGTCTTCATCTCCGAGACCTTGAGCAAGGCCTTAAGACATCTCCCCGCCCATCTAAATCTTCGAATTGCACAAAGCCTATGAAGTCCTCTTCAGTGTGATCAAAGCTCGAATTATTAAAGTTCAGGAGGCATAAAGTCGCTACCTCGGGCCCTCAGGGTTCAGCCGCAGAACGGCGCACAGGCGCCACACCGCACACCGTAAGCGCGCATGCGCGAACAACAACTATAGGACCTCGAAACTGGAAAGCTCACGGTGTGGGCTCCGGCATGCTGGCGTTGGGCCAGCTTGAAGCATTGCTGCTTCACTTGCTAAGTTAAGTGGACTGCCTTCCAGAAGCCCAGGGAGCGGTTACAAGCGGACGAGCTGACAGCCTGACAACTGATGGTAAATGGCTGGTATGCTTTTTTCTGAGGAGCGTTGACATTACCGGAAGGTCCGCATCCTGTACCGATTGATGAATAATCTCCGGATCTGTACACGAGCAAACTGTCATTTGCAGATTGCAGCCCGGCACAGCGGATAAAACGCCGGGTTTAACTTTCGACTCTCAGCCAAACTTCCTTCGTCCTGCTCCGCAGAGCTTGTGAAACAAGCCAAATCTTTGGGTTTTGTGGGATGACACACACTACTTACTGTGATCTCCGGAAAGTTGGAACATGAGTTAAGGATGATGAGTGCTGGGACTACCTGTACTTTACTTCAAAGGCATCAGGATAATGATGTTCCAACTTTCTAGCTGCTAGCTTCTACTATATACAGGGACTATATAAGGGTATCAGACTACCAGTTATTCAGGCCTCTGTAATTCCCAGCTCAGCCCTCAAATATTCCTTCTCCCAAATACTCCTAAGACGCAACCTCGAAACTTCGAACCATGAGCGGTTGGTCCTGAAGCACATTCCCTTCCAATTTATGCTCACTGGTCATAAGTTACATCTACTGCATGGCTCTCATCACTATCATCAAGAGCAAAATCGGCACCGATGCCATCAACACTCAGAAAAAGTCGGGGGAATGACGGGGATATAGACGGTCAAGTATTGGCAGGGGTGGCATGACATTAAATGCGGACAGAAGGTTGCAACGTTAAGACTGAACAGCTCCAGTCAAATTAACATGAGATCTCTACATGTGCATCTTTATTCTGGATGCTGGCGCACGTGCGAACAGCGAGCATTCGAATCAGCACTGTCATCGACCATGGACTACCAAGTACGAATCACAGTAGGTGGCTGACCCTGAACCCCAAACTCCTGCTATACCTGCTATAAACTATAGTCCTTAGCGCCACACCCTGAAGGCTAAACCGTGAACCCTAAGCCGGGAGCCAGTCCCTGTCCTCGACCACGTGCGCTTCAAACGGCTCGTGCCTTGTAAGCTCTGCTTTTGGGGCTGCAAAAAGGGTCTGCTACTTGGGGCCCAGGGTTTTAGTAGGGCTTGGGGCCTCGCTCCCATGTGACTGCGCCTACAGAGTCGCCCGAGCCTGAAGCCCAATCTCAATGTCACGACGCTGTGGGGAAGACTTCGAGCTTGGGGCAGAGTTTAGGGTCTTGGGCTTTCAGGGTTTAAGACTTCGGGTGGTCGGCTTTCCATCATTCTGAGCGAGCAGCCAGAGAAATCTCCTTTAGTACTGCACATCACCGAAACCCTAATCCCTGAACCCAAAACCCTGATTAATCCCCTTTTGCAGAACCCGGAAACTTGGCCCCAAGCTCGTCTTTCCCAGGCCGGCAGCTCTTGCCACCAGCCCTGAGTGAGGATTTGGGCTTTGGAGGAAGATGCTTAGGATGCCTGGCACTTCTCGTCGGTTGCCGAAGCAGGATGGCGCTCGAGGCTGAGGTGAAGTACTGCAGAAACATAAGCGAGGAACCATACCGTACCGATGCGCATAGGCCTAACGCCTGGCTGCCCGCCAACCCTCCACAAGACACGTGCGATGCTCAAGATTTCGGAGTTTAGGGTTTGCGGCTGGGCCGAGCCCGAGAATGCTAAAGCAACACTCTGAACCCTAGACAGAAACCCGTCCTAAAACCCGAGCTAAAATCACCAGATGAAGGAGTCCAGCAACGAGCCCCAGAACCCCCCGCAACCTACAACCCAAATCCTGGAATCCTCAACTCAACGTCGTCGACCTCAGAAAAAGCCCTCAAGTTCCTGAAGGCATCGGGCAGGTTCCAAAACTAAAGTAAAGAAGGCTCATGGCCTACAGTGGCCTACAGGCTTGCAGGGTTGGACTCATGACTTGGAGGCTTTTACAGCAAGTAAGGTTTAGGACCTTAGGATTTGGGATTTTGGGCTTCCATCTCGGGTAAAGGATTTTGGGATGCGGCTGGCCAACGCTCTTCTTGTTTTATGGCTTCGGCTTCCAACTTCCGGGCAGAGTCGGCCTGCAGGAGCTGCGAAAGGCTGGCCTCCATGAAGGATCCAGCCTGTTTCTGGCCACTAAATCCCGAAAGTTTCGACATCAACAAGACCGAAAGCAAAGCTTGAACCCGAGCGCCCAAAACCTACTGTACCAGGACCCGCTGTGTAGAGGGCTTCGGGTGTGCGATTGGGGTCAAGGACGTCTGGGCTCCAGCTCCGTAGCGGAAGGCACAGCTCGTCCCGAGCCTTTTGCGTCTCGCTCGAGCCTGCCGTACCTGAATGCAGGAGACCAGAAGAAAGTGCCGGACGTGCCACAGAGGCACCCGTGTCAATCTTATGATGCGTCCTTGCTATGGCCATGCTTGTTGCAACAGCATTCCAGGCATTGGGTCTCGTGGCCATGGGCCTATGCAGAAGCACGCGGAAGCTGAGGCCATGTCGTCCCAGTGTCGAAGCAGCTTGAAGCAATAGTTGGGGAAGCAATGCATGTGCCGACGGTCGCACAACACCTCGGCGCGAAGTTCTCGACAACACTGGACTGTTAGAACGGCCACCCCAGCAACATGCTTCACGCGTACGCGTGTCCACGAGAAGTGGGCACTCGGCATCGTGAGAAGTTCAAAACAAAGCAGCTACCACAGCATGCAGGTGTGCCTGACCGCAACAAACTACGATCACTGCGACGGGGTCAAGAAGATTGAGGCACCCAGCAGCATAAGAAGTATAGAATTAGCTTTGAATTCAGGACGAGCGAACGACCGGAGCACAATCCTAACAGCGACTCAAGGAAAACATGCAGCGTACCCCACCTATGCGCACCCGCACCCCTCTAGATGATTCGCCCCGCTGGGATCTCCGGAAAAGCCTGGAAGGAAACAGTAGTCGAACCCACCTCTGCTCGGCAAGTCAAGCACCCGAAGCCCTGGTGAACGAAGTCGCATGCGCTGCATAAATATTTCCCAATTTGGTTCTGTTCTGAGAGATGGACTTGCCAGCACCTTGGGCGACTGGTGTTGGGCCTCGCCAGCATCCATCCGGTACTCCAGGCTGCTGTGTGCGTTGATCACAAGGGTCTAGGACTCCAGGGCTTAAGGCTTCAAGATGTTTCAGTGTTTAATTTCTGTAGTACAACTCCTACTTAGATGGGTTGAAGCGGTTTGGGAAGAGCAGCTGCGACAATTTGGCTGACAAACGATGCGAGCCTCGTCGAGCGATTCAGCCGCCTCAGACAGGCGGGTTCCGTACTTTGGGGTTAGGCCGAAGTTCAGTCAACTGGGACTCCCGGACAATGCTTGCCAAACTCACAGCAACAGCTTGTCCAGCCGCAAGGTCTGAGGGACTCACTAAAGAAGGATCCACCAGCAGCGCAGCCGTTGCCAGTGACATCCATCCTCGCTTGACTGGCAGCTAAAACTCCGGCATTGGACAGTATGGTCCAGACCTATCAGCAAGCTCAACTTGAAGACTTTGGACCCGGGGCTGGGGCTTAGGCTCAAGGCTTACGTTTTACCGGCACCGCCCCGTTATCTTCGGACTCTGTTCAAGACTTGAGGCTTCAGGATTTGGCTTTGGAGTCCCCCTCGAGGCCAGCCCTAAACCCAAAAACACGTGCTACCAGCCGGTGTCCTTGGAAGCCGCCATCCTGTGAGCTTTGAGCCTTCCGCAGCTTGAAGTGTCTGCAGGTTTAGAGTTGAGGGACTTGGTTGTCGGACTTAAGGCCCTGGGACTCATGGCAACAGACACCGGAAGAGCTGTGGATGGAGTCTGGGGCTTCAGATCGTACTCAGCTGGATACTGAACATGTCATATGCAGCCTTCGACTTTCACCCTGCCCTGAACCATAACCCCGAGGCGCGAAGCGCTGACCCAAACCCTTGCACTGCAAACGCTGACCCCTGCCCTAGCATCTCACCAGGCGTCGCACGTCTGCGGCCAATTCGGCATAGGCGGCTTTCATGCCATCTGCATCGAGACCTTGGGGTTGTGCTATCGGGGTCTGCGCAACAGGTTTTATTGGGTTTTGAATTTCTTTGGCTTCGGGGTCTGGGCTCAGCACCAGCCAAGTGAAGGACGTCTACATTGCTTTCAACATATCCACCGCAGAAGCGGATACGGGCGTCCAGCACTGTGGCTGCCAGCCGGGAAGTCAAAAATTCTGCTTCCAAGCCTGAAGTTATCCCTCACCCAATAAAACCCCAAAGAGCGCCCCCTAGCCCTTGCATCAAGCCGAATCCTGAGTGCTTCGCGGCAACCCAGGCAAGACAAGGCCGCTAGGAGCGCCAAGGGCAAAGTGCCTTCGATCGACCTTGGCATGGATGGCAGCGCACGGTCTTGGCCCTTCTCAGCTGATACCACCGTTTCTATATGCTACGAAACCTTTGGGAGTTCTGGCGAAATGAATTAGGGTATACCTCGCCTATTTAGGCTATTGGCACCACCCACCCCAAAAGACAAAATACAATCTTAGGAATATCCCAATACCCCTACCTAGGTGCCATAGCTCAAAATAGGCTAGGGGTTGTTTATAGAATTAACTTCAGGGTTTAGGGTTAAGGGTTGCATCAAAGTTTTAGCTTCTCGGATTCTCCAATAGTGTTAATACTATAACGTAAATTATAGTAGATAGCTGCTTATGTATTCTAATTACAGTATAACTATGCAGTTACTGGTTTCAACGGTGGCGGTTTCACTCTGCCCATTGTCTAAGCGTTCAGAACAAGTCATAGTGCATTTAACATAATAGGAAGAAGGCTTACTAGCGCAATAGCAACGCTTAAGACAATCAGTGCTTTTGACTTGCTTACAACGATAACACTTCCTAGTAATACTCGTATCTGGTTCACTATATGCCTTATAATCAACCAATTTCTTATTTACTTGTTACTGGCATCATACTCTTGTCTTACACACTTTTCATAATGACTAAATTATGAAAACGGGCTGGTTTCTTCATTTCTAACGAAACGAATTAATCAATTAACGTCACTTCCACACTCTTATGACGTGCTTATGAATCTGTAGAACAATTTTTGGCGAGCTTGTATAGCCGAGCGCACCATGAAGCCTAAATTTCCAAAGTAGATTGGAACTCTGCCTCCAAACCCTAAGCCCGAGCTCAAACAGCTGCGATCGCAAGGACCCGGCCCGCAAAGCCTTTCGCAAAGAGCCGACTCCCACCTACACCGCCGGAGTGGAAAGAGGCTCTTGGCGGTGGCACACTCAGTTTTATTGCATTTGATCATGCTTGTCTGCAGTAAAAGAAATAGATGCAGACGATCGGGCCTTTGGCTCTGGAGTTTGGTAGCAAGGGACATGGACATGGATGGATTTGCGTTGAAAACTGCAAAACCACAACACCCCGAAGGAAGACTTTGACCTCTTTAGCCCGCGGGCCTCTGTGCATGGAGGGACCGGAGCGCTCGAGGGTTCCACACAAAGGCACCGGCACCTGGGACCAACACCTGCAGACTCGGTCTGGTTTAGGGCTTCCGGGTTCAGTAGCAACAAGGTCGAACAGGGGCTTTGTGGCCTCTTCTATCTCACATATTGCTGTTCCTACCTGAGGGTTCCGGGCTTCTGGCTGCCTGAGGCTAAGCAGCGTTCAAAGGCACGTATGTGTTGATAGTTGTGGACACAGTGTTTGCAACTCTCACGATGTTGCGTGTAGATAGATAGATATCAGATAGACAGAGTAGATAGTCTGATGGATTTGCAGGGCTTGCAACCGGATCGGTTCGCGCCTTCATGTCGCCAGCCTTATCGATGGCCTCGAGACGCCCGACGCGCCCACAGCACCTGGAGCGCAGTGGAATTGGAGCGCGATCTACTGTTGATGCGTCTTTCTTCTGATCACAGAAACAAATAGGTTTTGCAAAGTGTTGCGGTGGAATGACCAGTGAGTCTGCGGCTGAGTCATGCGATCATTCCAGCCACCGTGGTTGACCTGGCGGGCAAATGAAATGGCTGACAAACCACTCTGGAAAACCCAAAGAAGTCTGTTCGTCCCTTGTCATCTCACTGCCTCATGGTTTTTGTGTCTTCTACTGTGTCGCAGGGAGTCCTCGCTTACGGCTGGAATTTGCAGGCTGGGGACCTCACGACCCGTGTGGACAAGTGTACGAGAAGAAGAGGAAGAGCTGAAACCTTAAACTCTTTGACGGTTATCGGTTAGGGGTTTAGCGGAAAACCTGCCTGGAGCTGCTTCGCTTCCTCGACAGTGACGTCGATGCGCACCTGGCATGCATTCCCCACAGTCCGGGCCTCTCGTCAGGAACTGCATGTGTGGGTGTAGTGAACTGTGGCTGGATGATTGCGCTTGTGTTGATTGAAATACATACGTATTGATCTAGATAACTACATACCTACCTACCTACCTACCTGCCTGCCTACCTACCTACTTACATCCATACATGCATACATGCCTACATGCATTCCTTCCTACATGCATACAGCCATGCATACATGCGTCCATACATGCATTCCTGCATACATACAAGATGTAACCCTCGCCATGGCCTGGGATCTCCAGATCGGTCTATGCCCGGAAGCCGATTGAGGGTTGCGCTGCTGGTTGAAGGTTTTTCCATGGTTCCGGGTTTCAGGGTTTCGTCTTTTTTGGCTTTTGGTTTCGGACATGGAGCTGTTGGCATTCGACCCCAACAACCACAGATGGATCCGTGAGAACTGAATATCATGAAAGGTCCCTTGAACCGTTGTTCAGAAGAAGAGGGAGAAGCCAACGTTCCGTACTACAAAGAGCACCAACACGATCTCCGTTACCATCGGCATCCTCATCCTGCAGGCTTTCCTCTCCATCGCCATCATCAGTGTCATCGTCCTGAACCTGAAACCCTAAGCCCACCAACTTTGGCCTTTAAGAACTTGGGAATTCGGAGGGCGCGGTGCCTCGTCGCCGATCGTCAGAGCTGCACCAGGGCCGCACTCATCTGGCAGCTAAGGGGCTCATGGTTCAGCTTAGGGTTCTTGTGAAGCTTCATTGCCGGGTAGTTTTTCGTCGGGAGTCTACCGGCTTGCTGCAGGGCATCGGTCCGAGCATGTCGTGTTCTACTGCCACTTAGGAATCCGATGCGTGAAGTCCCTATCTGGGGCCCTGTGAGAGGGATAAGGGGCGCTTTAGGGGGCTCTAGGGCTTCAGCGTTCAGCTTGTTCGCCCTGGGCGGGCATGATGTTCCGAGATTTGGCCCCCTGCCTTCTTCAAAGGGAAGCAGCCCTGCATCTGATATCACCTGCCGGAGCGTAGGGCTTTGGGTTCTGTGGCTTCGGAGTTTCGCAGCAAGCCCAGTCCTCTGCGACTGCTTTGGCATTCCAGCACCAACATCCAAGGGCCTTGTGTGAAGCACGGAAACCAAAACTGCAACGTGCTGTTGGATGCCGGGTCGGGTTTGGGAAGTCTGGCTTGCGTTCTGGCTACTTCCTTGTCGAGGGATGCAACGAAGGAGAAACAGAACCTCAGTCCTTGTTGGGTGCTTCAACATACCACCACGATCAGGAAGAATAACGCTTCTTCAAGGACTCTTGCAAGCATCTATCCAGCACGAGCCGGCAGCGGCAGCAGCAAAAACAGCAACGAGACACGCGGACAACCACAACAAAAACAACCGCCAAGGCGGCGTCAACAACAGCAGCGGCAGCAGCGGCAGCAGCAGCAACAACAACAACGATGCAATAGTAAGAACATGAACAAGAGCAATAGCAACGACATAAATGAAACAGCCAGGCTACAAACGCTACGATGACAGAAAAAAGTCGGGCAACAGCATTCATGACGATGATGAGAGGGCTCTGAGGTGTTCGGGTGGTTTGTCGAGATGCTTGGAGCTCGCAGGAACACGCGGGACTGCTTCTTCGGAGGTCTTTGCTCAACAGGCCAGAGTTGTTTCGATAAGTTTAAGATTATGTCGAATGTGCGAAGTGCCGAATACCTTTCTGGACAGTTAAGCTTCGTAGCATGTAAAGAGGTACTAACCGCTACTAATCCTTCCCAATTCTTCATGTCATTGCTGGCAGGCAAGTGGCCCCATGGGAGATGCGCAAGACCTGCGCGGGTATGAAAACCGGCTGATGTTGTTTAGTGTTGTTGTTGCTGCTGCTGTCATTGTTGATGGTGATGATGATTACTAGTACTATTACTGCTAAGATCTATTCCTAGTACCAGTCAACGTAGTAGCACTAGAAGATCTGCCATTACCATTACTGTTACTATTACTATTACACTTACTCTTACTTGTAAACGTTACATAAACTATTACTACATATATTAGTACTAATATTACCTATTACTATGACTAGAACTGTTACTACTGCCATTGCTATTGTTCTTTGTTGCTACTGCTACGGCTATTGCTCCTGCTATTACTCTCATGACTATTCCTATTACTATTAACTACTAACAATTCACGATTGACTATGGACTATTAACCATTACTATTACTAGATCTCGTACTGTTGCCATTGCCATTCCCATACATTGCTATTACCATTACTATGACTCTGACAATACTACTCCTATTCCTGTTACTGTTGCTGTTGCTATGGCTGTGGATGCTGCTGCGAGAGCTGCTGTCTGTTGTTGCTGCTGGTGTTGATGTTGTTTGGTGTTGCTCTTGCGTTTGCTGGTGCGTCGTGGTTGGTGTTGGTGCTGGCCGTGGTGGTGGAAGTGGTGGTGTTGCTTGTGCTGGTACTGGTGTTGGCTGTGTTGTTGTTGCTGCTGTTGCTGATGTTGGGTGCTGGTGCTGGTGCTGCTGGTGGTGGTAGTGGTGTAATGATGGTGTCGATGACGATGGTCACCATGATCATGATCATGATCTTCGTGATCATGGTTGATGATGAAAAAGAAGAGGATGATGATGATGGTGATGATGATGCTGATGACGATGATGATGATGATGATGATGATGGTGAGGACGTTGATGATGATGATGATGATGAACAAGAAGAAGAGGATGATGATGCTGATGATGTTGATGTTGCTGTTGATGATGATGATGATGATGATGGTGATGATGCTGATGATCACGATGATGATGATGATGATGATGGTGAGGACGTTGATGATGATGCTGATATGATATGATTTGATATGATTTGATATGATATGATATGATATGATATGATATGATACGATACGATAGGATATGATATGATATGATATGATATGATGACGATGATGATGATGATGATGACGATGGCGATGGCGATGGTGAAGCGTAATGATGATGATGATGATGATGATCATGATGATCATGGTGATGGTGATGGTGATGCTGCTGCTG